CCTCTCTGAAATCAATAAAAATATATTTTAAAAAAAGAAATAGTATAAATTTGCTAAGTGATCTTTAAACTAGATGGGAAGAGTGTGCAGGAGGAAGGGAAAGCAGCACATTCCAAATCAAGGAAACAGCATGTGTGAAGGTCAAAGGCAGGAGATGGTGTGGCCTATTTATATACTACGTGCCAGAATAATCCTTTGAGATAACTAGTTTGTGTTTTGTTTGCACAGCTGTAGATGGATCAGAGACACAAAAACTATTTTTCTCTCTCTTAATGCTCTTCTCTGTCACAGCAAGGCTTTTGGGTTGAGACCTAGGGCTTGCATTGCAGATTAAGAAAATTTTGTTTCCTAAAAGATAGTCTGAAAAAAGGGATGGGCTCTGAAACTTTAAGATCAGGAACTGGACATGACAAACACTGAAGGACTCCCCCAAAGCGTTGGTAATGAGGGGATGTGGAAGTAACAACCCTACATTCCACCTCCTCACTGCATCCCAGGAAGGGGTTAGCTCCAAGAAGAATGGCTGGACCCCATCACCAAAGCTCCCAGTCTCTGCAAGGATCTCAGTGTTCCTGTTACCAACAAAGCCTCCCTACAAAGAAAATTCAGGCTTGAACAATAAACAGTGAACTATGTGGGCCAAAGATAAGACCTGCTGAATCTAAGGTGGGCGGCGAGGCAGAGGAATATGTGACTGAGTTTTCCTGGAAGTGTGCAATTACTGTACATACTCATTTAGGGTATGTCAACTGAGTATCTTAGACTCAGAGATCTTAAGACTAATCAGGCCTTTGGAACATGAGTGACTCATGCTTACCGTTATCTCCAGAAACTGTAGGGTTTCTGAACATCTCAGGATCACCATTTCCTACATCTCCATACATTTAAAACTAGAGGTACTCATTCTCACAATTATTTGATAAGATCAATAGCTTACAATGCTCATGGTCACAAGGAACAGAAACCCATCCACATGGACGCCATGCAAAGGTGGGACCTTTACCACATAATGGTAAAAATAAAAGGTAATGTTGTAATGTACCCCGCGAATCACAGAAGGATGCCTCAAGAAGTAGAATTAAAGAGTCACATTTATTGCAATCCAGGACTATGAGGGACCATTCCTCAAATCTCATAGTAACAAGATGGTCACAGCTCCAGGGTTATATAAGCAAAAAATCACAAAGGTATTGATTACATCTCAAGGTTTGGAATGAGAAACCTGGTTTGCAAAAAAGCAGTTTACAGAAGCAGAATTAAGCATGTTAATTATAGTTTTGGGTCTCGGGGTCACTGAATTGACAGAAACACCTTATCTAGAGCCCTTGGGTCAAGAGACCACTGAGTTGCCAGGAACTCATTATCTAGAGCCCTCTGGAATGAGGAACCTGGGTTAAACTTAGGCATGTTATCTAAATTACAGTTTTGGGTCTCTGGAACACTAAGTCAACAGGGACACATTAACTGGAGCCCTCTGACCTTGGGATAACTGTGCTGTCCTTCCCAGGTAAAGGAAAATGTGCTTTCTAAGACCAGTATGACCACTACAAATGGGATTTCACATTACAATCAATAGGGTATTCAATCTAATGGGATGGTTTACATAATTCAGAAAATCAAAATAATTTTTCTATTGTTAAGCCAAACAGCAGGGTTAGAGTTAAACTACAGTTTCTACCTGAGATGGTTGCTACCATACTTCAGTAACATTCAGACAAACAGCACAAATTCTTTCCCAAGCACTGTACTAAGTGATTTAGCTAGATTAAATCATATTATCCTCTTAATAACCCTTAGGTAGATACTATTTTTATCCCAAGTACGCCTATTGCCAAGAGAAAGATGGTGGATGAAGAAATATAAACACCAAATAGGTAGCATTTTCCATCAGGAGAGAAGATGACATTGAGCACTGATGAAGTAAGCTAAAGGTAATTCCTGGACCAAATTCAAATGATATCATAAGAGGAAAAAAAAAATCATTATTTTTACCAAAGTTAAAACTAGGTACAGAATAACTTTTTTTTTTT